AAAAAAAATTAAAAAATGCACCCCCACCCCCCTCCTGTTCCGCCTTCTTCCTCTTCTCCTTCCACTGAGCCGCCGCCCGCGATGTCGCGACTTTAAATAGTCGGGAAGGGGAGGAGGCGGCGGGGACGGGGGGAAGGGAAGGGGGAGGGACGCGCGTGCGCACGCCCCTCGGTGGGAGGGGGGGGCAGAGCCGAGCGGAAACACCCTAAAAATGGTTAAAAACGGCGGAAAAACCGCAAAAAATTTGCATTGAGGGCGCGGCGGGATTCGAACCGGCGACCTTCGGTTCGGCGGCGCTGGCAGAGGGGGCTGCTGGCGCCGGCACGCGGCGGGCGGGGGTATAGCTCAGTGGTAGAGCATTTGACTGCAGATCAAGAGGTCCCTGGTTCAAATCCGGGTGCCCCCTCAGCGAGTGTTTTCAGTACTTTTTATTCGCTTTGGTCGGTTTTTATCGTGCTTCTACCAGTTTTTATCGTGTTTTCACCCCGTTTTTTTGCAGTTTCTGTCGCTATTTCCGTGGGGTTTGAGGGGGACGAGTCGTATTTGCCCCATTTCCACGCGTGGAACGGCGGCTGCGCATGCGCGGAATGTGCCGTAAAATATCACCCAGCGCCGCCATTGACGCAGTGGGGGTATAGCTCAGTGGCAGAGCATTTGACTGCAGATCAAGAGGTCCCCGGTTCAAATCCGGGTGCCCCCTTGTTTTACTTTATTTTTTTCCTCCTCCCTTCATCCCAACTTTTCTCGTTCCAGCCATCCCCGGTGGCTCTTCCCGCCCCGTCCCGGTTCTCCCGGTGCTGCCGGTACCGGTGAGGGCGCGGCGTTTTCCCGCCTCCGCTAGGGGGCGCGGAGCGAGGCGGGGCGGCCGCGTCACGTGACATCCGCCGCCTCTTCCGGCGCCAAGATGTCGAAGCGAGGTGAGGCGGGCCGCGCTCTCCGCCGCCATCCGCGTCCATCCGCCGCCATCCGCCGCCATCCCCGCTCTCCGTGGCCGCCGCGGCGCAGCGGGGAGCCGGGGAGAGGCGGCCGAGGCCGGGCGGGGGGCGGGTGTCGCGGGGTGATGGCGCTGCGTGAGGCGGTACCGGGCTCGTAACGCTCCTCTCGCCTCCTCCCCTCAGGACGCGGAGGTTCCTCCGGTGCCAAATTCCGCATCTCCCTCGGTCTCCCGGTGGGCGCCGTGATCAACTGCGCCGACAACACCGGTGAGTGCGGGGGGGGAGCCGGGAGGGAACCGGGGGAATCCTTCAGGAACCGGGAGGGACCCTCGGGAATCGGGAGAGACCCCCGGAAACCGGGGAGACCTCGGGAACCGGGGGAACCTTTGGGGAACCGGGAGAGCCCTTCAGGAACAAGGAGAGCCTTTGGAGAACCGGGATGAACCCTGGGGAACCGGGAGAACCCTTCAGGAATCGGGGTAGCCTTTGGAAAACCGGGAGAGACCCCCGGGAACCGGGAGAACCCTTCAGGAACTGGGATGAACCCCCGGGAACCGGGAGAGACCCTTGGGAACCGGGGGAGACACCCGGGAACCCGGGAAGCCTTTGGGGAACCGGGGAAACGCTTCAGGAACCGGGGAAACCCTTCGGGAACCGGGGGAGACCCTAAGGAACCGGGATGGACCCTCGGGAGCCGGGGAAACCGTTCGGAAAGCGGGATGGACTCTAAGGAACCGGGGGAGCCTTTGAGGAACCGGGAGAGACTCTCGGGAACCGGGGAAACGCTTTAGAAATCGGGATGGATTCTCGGGAACCGAGGAAACCCTTCAGGAACCGGGATGAACCCTCGGGAACCGGGAGAGACCCTTGGGAATCGGGGAAGCCCTTCAGGAACCGGGGGAGACACCCGGGAACCGGGAGAGACCCTTGGGAATCGGGATGGATCCTTCAGGAACCGGGAGAACCCTTCAGGAACAGGGATGAACCCTAAGGAACCGGGGAAACAATTCGGGAACCGGGGAAACCCTTCAGGAACCGGGGTAGCCTTTGGAAAACCGGGAGAGACCCTTGGGAACCGGGGAAACCCTTCAGGAACCGGGGTAGCCTTTGGAAAACCGGGAGAGACCCCCGGGAACCGGGAGAACCCTTCAGGAACCGGGATGGACCCCCGGGAACCGGGAGAGACCCTTGGGAATCGGGGAAGCCCTTCAGGAACCGGGATGGACCCTCGGGAACCGGGATGAACCCTTCAGGAACCGGGGGAGAACCGGGGGAGACCCTCGGGATGAATTCCCAAATTTTGGGGAATTTTTTTTCGGGAATTTTTGGCAGCCCCCCACCACCCCGGTGTCCCGTCATAACGGCGCCGCTGCTCCCGGCTGTGAAAAACGCAAACAACTTGTGTTGGTTTTTTTTTTTTAATTTTTAAAGTTTAATAATAATAATAAAATTATTATAAAAACAGCAATACGATCAAAGTTCTAAAATTTCGAATTAGAATGACAAGAGAATAAAAAGCAAATAATTTTGGATGCTCTCGGACGCTAAATCACAAAAAGCATCCCTTTTGAACAAAGGAAAATCACCTTAAATTAATTCACTTATTGCATATTCCTATATCCTTCATGGTTGTGTGTATATTCTATTTAAAACAAGAAATTCTGTTGTTTGTCAAATATTTTTATTAATCCCCGCTGCATCTTCGAGTCTGAGCAAGAAGAAATTAAGTTTATTCTGATAAAAGAAGCATAAACTCTTCTCTGGAAGATTTAGGTGTTTCTCCAAGCAAGTATCTAATTAAAAAAAAAATCTTTATATGCATATTTTCTATCTTAACATTATTTTATTATTTAAACTATATTTACTATAATAAAGAGAATTAATATAGGACAACTTTCTAACATTGCACACATAATATTTATTGTGATACGTATACATCAAATATCCATTACATGTAAATTACACATTTGAATTAAAACAACATAACTTTCTAACATTGCACATATAATATTCATTGTAATATTTACACATCAAATGTTACTGTGATGTCCATTACATGTAAATTACACATTTTGATTAATATTGCATAACTTTCTAATAAATAAAATATCCATTGTAATATTGACACATAAAATATCCGTTTTGATATCCATTACACATAAATTATCTATTTGAATTAATACAGCATAACTTTGTAATGTTGCACATATAATATATAATATTTGCATGTAAAATATCCGTTGTAACATCGATTACACATAAATTATCTATTTGAATTAATACAGCATAATTTTCTAACATTATGCATATAATATTCATTGTAACATTTGTGAAAAGCCAATCATAAAATCTGCAGTTTTCACACAGCTGTTAAAAATACGTTAGAAACTACTGTAGATTAGTTGATAATTGGTAAGTATATTAATATGTTAATATTGTTAAGTGTGTTAATAATTGGTAATTGTTAAGTTTGTGCTGTTAGTTTGGTAAAAAGGAGTTTAAAGAGGTGGTTGTAAGATATTATACCTAAGTAAAGTGCACCACCTCCAAGCCTGGACAATGGGCAAACCAACTGCTTTAAACCTTCATGAAAATCTAGAATTCAAAACCAAATCAATCCAGAGGGACAAAAAAAACAGGATAAAAAGGGATTTTTTGACCCTCTGAATTGATGAATATCAAGGATAGCGCTGCAGCATCCTCGGTGGGGTTGCTCCTGCCCGTCCTGCAGGCATCTTGCATGAAGTTTTTCTTTTTGCTCCAATAAATTGTGAAATATTTCCGAGTCCTGGGGACGTTTTGGTGTTTTCCAGGGGCCAAGAACCTGTACATCATCTCCGTGAAGGGCATCAAGGGCCGCCTGAACCGGCTGCCGGCGGCCGGCGTGGGCGACATGGTGATGGCCACGGTGAAGAAGGGCAAGCCCGAGCTCAGGAAGAAGGGTGAGACCATTTGCATATCAATTATTAAATTTACATTGCTTAGGAACACACACAATCATGGTATATGATTCTATTCAGGTGCTTTTATTGATGAAGAGCTCTGGGAATGAGGGCTGCAGACCCAAATCTGACTCTGAACGTATTTTATATTCTATCCTTATATAACTCACATATTAATTATTAAACTTACGTTGTTCTATTCTGTACATAATTTACATATTGATTATTAAATTTACATTGTTCAGGAACACAAAATCACAGGTTATGATTCTATACAGGTGCTTTTATTCATGAAGAATTCTGGGAATGAGGGCTGCAGACCCAAATCTGACTCTGAACGTATTTTATATTCTATCCTTATATAACTCACATATTAATTATTAAACTTACATTGTTCTATTCTGTACATAATTTACATATTGATTACTAAATTTACATTGTTCAGGAACACAAAATCACAGGTTATGATTCTATACAGGTGCTTTTATTGATGAAGAGCTCTGGGAATGAGGGCTGCAGACCCAAATCTGACTCTGACACAGCTTTTGAGCTGCATGTTTTTTATATTCTATCCTTATAGACCTTGCATATTAATTATTAAACTTACACTGCTCTTTATATAACTTACATATTAATTAGTAAACTTATATTGTTTAGGAGCACACAGAATCACAGGATATGATTCCATGCAGGTGCTTTTATTGAGAACTCTGGGAGTCAGGGGTGCAGACCCAAATCTGACTCTGAACGTGTTTTATATTCTATCCTTATATAACTTACATATTAATTATTAAATTCACATTGTTTAGGAGCACACATCATCACCCTGACATCCTCTCTGTCTCTCCTGCTCTTCTCTCCCTGCCCAGGGCTGCTGCTCTCTTTTATATGGTACATTACATATTAAATGTTTACAGTTTTTTCCCAATGCCTATTACCTATATTAAATGATGCTTTTCTATCTTTTGTATGATATATTACGTGTTAAATGTTTATAGTTTTTCCCCAATGCCTATTACCTATATTAAATGGTGCCTTTCTACTCTAAACCAATCTGTGAGTGCCAACATCACCAAGAACAGGGAGGTGAGGAAGAAGAGAGGAAGGACAGAATAGGCTCAAATCTTTCCATCTTAAAACTTCTGACCTTCATGTACAAAACCAAAATCCCCTGTACAGCACTCAAAAATTCTTTTTATTTTGTGACTACTTCTACTCCAATATCTATAAATTTTTGTCACTTCTTGTCCTTCCTGCAAGGTTGATAAATCGTTCTATGGTTTAAATCCAAAATCCCAGCTGTTTCCAGCTGTGCCAGGGTCTCAAATGCTTCTGACCTGGGCCCAGAACATCCAAAAATGTCTGAGGGACATTTTGAGTTCCAACAATGGTACATTACATGTTACACGTTTATAGTTTTTTCCCAATGCCTATTACCTATATTAAATGATGCTTTTCTATCTTTTCTATGGTACATTACGTGTTACATGTTTACAGTTTTTCCCCAATGCCTATTACCTATATTAAATGGGGATTTTCTATCTTTTATATGGTACATTACAGGTTAAATGTTTATATTTTTCCCCCATGCCTATTACCTATATTAAATGGTGATTTTCTACTCTAAAATCTGTGAGTGCCAACATCACCAAGAACAGGGAGGTGAGGAAGAAGAGAGGAAGGACAGAATGGGCTCAAATCTTTCCATCTTAAAACTTCTGACCCCCATGTACAAAACCAAA